TTTTTTTTTTTTTTTTTTTCTCGATGTGGTCCTTCGCAGTGCATCTACATGTGTCTAAGTAACCATTGCCTGACCCATGTGATCTCCAGAAATGTCTGCTCAAGGAAGTTCTTGCCTCAGGACCCGTAATGCCAAACTTGCTAAGCAATCATCAACTCCCATGTGTGGCTTCTGACTTATGGCCTTTCTGGTGCTTCTGGTGGGCATTCCGGATTGTGGTCAGGCTCTTGTTGTTTGAGCCACGAATGCTAGAGCAGGCGACATTGTTCATCTTCTCAAACTCAGCAGGTGTCATGAGTGCTGTGCTCCAGAACGGTAGAAGTGAGATCTTTGAAGAACCCCTTGCATACTTGGCAAGCGCTGGGAGTGGGCCATGGTTGGGTTTCCATTGCATTTGTCACAGATGGCCGTGGAGTGACAGCTCCTGCGCAATCCCAAAGCATCCCAAAGCTGAAGCAGCTCCTGACCGTGCGCCTTTGATATCCTTCGATAGTGCTTCGTGGGAGGCGTTGGTGTTGGCCAGAATAGTCCTGGGCGATGCGGCCCCAGATGTTTCAGAGCATCATGTAGTGTAGGTTCACGGTGTAAGCCAGGGCTTGAGACTGCTGGTTTGGTGAGGTATCACCTCTTTGAACGAGCTTCAGTTCTCGTGCACATGCTGTAATTAGAGATTCCCGCCGGCCGGTGCAAGCAGAATCCGCCTATAGTGCAAGTGCCGTCGTGTTTGTTTGCCACTCAGCCGTAGTTGCCATAGCAGGATTTTCACAGCAGTTCTACTGCATCCGGGGGACTAGGTTGTTTCCTTCATTTCGAGCGTTCTCATCTTGGCGCTGGCCGATGAAACGGGAGAAGTGATAAAGACGGGCTCTCAGACGCTCTGTTTGGGCTAGGGTGCCTGCTGCGTTGTCGTTTTCTTTGTTATGGCTTAAGGCTGGCTATGCTCAGACTTTGAAGTCGTGAATGTAGGAGGCAAGCGTCTGTTTTTCGGTTTTGCAGCACGAGAGGACAGATCCAGGGCAGGCGAGGGAATGTCACGCTGTTTGTGGAAGCCATTGAGTGCGTTCTCAAGCTGCCGGTTGATGTGCTGACTCTTCACGATTATCGGTTCCTCTTTCAATGGCAGCAGCTAACACTTTCCCTTCAGTGGGACTACACGAGGGTTTTCTCTGACAAAGCGGCCCTGCTCATGCTTTTGATACGGATTGCTGACGGCAGGGCTCAGGATGGAGACATCAGCAAGAAAGAAGTTGAATACTTGGCAGTCCTTTTGGTGGAAGGTTTTGCTTACACAGATTGACAGGCCTAAGGGAGTGCCGGTATTGGGTTCCCCCGCACCGTGATTCTGAGCTTAAGATGTGGTAGAAGCAGGTGCGATTAGGTGTCAGTTGGAGTCATTGACTTCCATGTAGTTGTGCATTTAGCCATAATGACATGTTGAGGTGGGAAATCTCGTAACTTACACAGACGAAGGCAAGTTCGGAGTTTTATTTGAGTCATAGGGCTGGTTTGCGAGTCCTTGTCAGGTTCACCTTGGGAGGATTGGAGCCCAAAGCCTCCAGTATTGGGACCCGCTGAAAAACTGTGGTCAGGGCATGTGTCGCCCTGAATCCCGATTTCACCAGCGCCGTCCCACAGGGACTTGCATATATCGAGTCTGAGTCTGATTAGGAACATTGTCCAGGCCCTTACACCGTGCATGGGGAAAGCATCTTGTGCAAAGGTTCGTGCTCATGTACCTGTTCTTGGCATTGCTGACGCTTCCTGAGGTGGATGCTCTAGGGATGGCTTGAAGCTGCATCTAATGAGCTTGATTTTATTGGCTATTGCCTTGAACGGTTTAGGCCAGGCTTTGGTTTTTGTTCGCTGCATGGCTTACTTTTCAGACTTGATGCCCAGAGGCTTTCGGAGACTTGCTGTGAGTTTGAAGTCACTTTATGGTTGAAGCATACGCAAGACACATTGCGCTATTCCAGGCCTACTCATTGACCAACTAAACTGCCTGCATGCAGGGCTTGAGGCTGCCCAGTGACAAAGGGTATTCCAAACAGAGCGAATATGTTCTCATGTTCATTCACAGAGGTTGTTGCCATGAAAAGTGCAAAAGGAGAGCTGGCCAATGTTCCTAAATCAGCCGGGGCTGGCGTGGGATTTGCAGTCACACCTGACACAGGACCGAAGCCATTCCACAGCATGAATATGAGCAATGCGACGTGACACGTGCTAGGCCCTTTGACCGCAGCTTGATCACAGGACTGTATAAAACGATGTGGCATATGGGCTCCACAACAGCTTTACCACCCTGGTTGGGCCCAGTACCGCAAAACGATTGTCTTCAGTGATTCTCCATCCCCCTGCTCCAGCCTTTGAACCTGGAAGTAACCACCTTGTCTGCATCCTCAAACCGTGCATACGTGCATGCACACACCCTCTACGCATTGCGAGGCTGGCATCATGTACCTTTATGTGCGGCAGGCAGATGTGTACTTTCGGGCTTGCAGGTTTTTCGTTGTCATCAGTAAGTCTGCAGAAATGCCGGAGGCGGCGGTAGTGATGCGAAGCTGGAGATGGTTGTACTTGTGGCTGGAGCAGGTCAGTCGGTAGAAGCACTGTCCTGTTTTGGCCAGAGAGGTGCAGCTTGAGAAGTTCATGGCGCAAGGGGGCGACGTTCATCAGGCTATGCTCAGGGCTCTTCTAGTGCCTCTGGCGTTGGTGACAGACAGTATTTTGTGTAAGTAGGGTTGTCCAGTTTTGATCAGGGCACTGTTCCAGTTGTGTTCCGCTCCTTGCCAAGACGGGGGTGAAAGCTTCATATCGATATATATATATATATATACATCGATGAGGTCATGCCTCTTGTGGTTGTTTCGATTGTTATAGGTGCAGCGTGTGAGCGCCCAAGCTAAAGCAGAATGCTGCCTGAGACCATTGGTTGTTAGTGCAGCATAGCTGTGGCTTGTTTTGCTACGACCTTGAGTCGGAGATCTCCAGGCTGATGTTGGGATTTTCGGTTTGCATCTAAAGAAGGTTTCAAATAAGGAAAAAGGGTGTTCATTTGGAGCAGATGGCTCGCCGCCCATGTGAGCACCACTCTCTTGCCAATGTTTGGCTGCAGTCCTATGTGCTTGGAGGATGTCTTCGCGACGTGATTGGTTCACGAAACACATGTGTCACAGAAGTCTTGCCCTGTCTTCGTATTCGCCTGAGTGGCTTCGTATCCGTAAAGAAATGCTATCTTTTTCGGACTTCCGCAGGCCCGCCCACCAGATTTCCCACCACAGCACCAACATCTATGTTGGTATTCTACATTGGCTGTCGATGTGCGGGTATCTTATCTGGCATCCTCTGGGACAGCCTCAGGGACTTAAGCGCCGAGTGCTTGTTTTTGAGGCTGCAGTTGCCCTCGCTGGCACAATCGCACTGGACACCATGTATTCCTTCCCAGTAGTTAACCAAATGGATCCTCGTGGGTTGACCTACAGGCCCCGGCTCCGATTCAGTCCGCTTCTCAAGAACGCTGCAGAAAGAGCGCCTCAACTCTTGTGGCAGGATCCTGCAAAATTGCATCTCGCCAGCTGCAATGACTCAAGCAACCTGCTTGAAGCATCGGGGTTGCTGACAAGTCCGTGTATCATCCAAGCTGCCCCAACCACGAGCTGAATTAAACGTAGAGAGAGCACTAGGTTTGCGGCATATGCAGAGCATTCTACTGCCGGTGCAGAAAGCGGCTCCAACCAAGCAGGAGTACAAGTGAAGCAACGTGTATCTTTTTTTGAAGGTGAGCCCAGATTGTAAGCTGCAAAAACAAAGGGTTGTTCAAGGGGGCCCTCACTCCTACAGCTACCAGGACATGGATCTCAAGCATTGCGCTTTCAGGGACCACCTTAGAAATGGCAGAGCCCGAACATCGCGAGCGCAGCCGATCACCAGCACCGACGGGGCGTGCATTCTGGCAAGCCCAGCTTGAGGCGAGGGAGCCATGAAGGCTTTATCTCAGAGTGGATTCAGAGCTATCAGCTTGGGCTCGAAGCAAGACCTTCACCATTCAGATTTCTCAAGTCCTGCTGACCCAAGACATGTGAGTTGTAAATTTTTCAGTGAGCTTCGCTGGCTTTGGCAGTCACTCAATTTTCATTAGTGCCCTGGAAGTACGTGCAAGCTTGCTGTCGGGTGCTTCCTTAGGCATGAGGCACCAGGAAGACCATTCGACACAGGAACGCCAGATTCACCAGATGTTTGTTGGAATCAGCATGTATGCTTGTCGCGCCACTGCTGGCGCAAGGGTCTAGGCACAGCTTTGTTCCAAAAGCACCTGGGTCCTTCTGCCAGCTCCACGCCGGAAGGCGCATGCGTGGAGGAATCAAAACCTGCCTCACTTGGAAGGCTATCTACACACGGCGAAACCCAGCGAAGCTGTCCACGGTACCTGAGCTTTTGCAGACGCTTGTCTTTGCTGGGTGCAGAGGGTTCCAGTCACTCAGCATGTACCAGATTTCTAATTCAGTGTTGGAGAACATCGATGGGCTTTGAGAGAAGATTGTTTCCCCCTGTGCCTGGATGCTGATCCCTAGAATGCAGTTTCCCTGTAGTTGTGATCTGAGGCGGGGAGGCACTGTAAGCGCCCCAACATGTTAGAGATAAGGATGGAGTCAGTCATACAAACGCATGCGCTAGCCGTTTCCAACTTTGTGACCGCCAGCAGCCTGGCAAGGAAAGTGATAGTTTTTTGAAGGCAAGTCCAGACCGCTAACACGTCCCAGCAGCTGCGGACCTTCAAGTGAATCTCAGGAAGTACAACGGGCGGGAGGCCGTCTTGTATGCCAGTGCATCTTGAAGCCAGAAAGAGAGAATGCACAAGAGATTGGGGTCGAGAGTCCGTTCTGTACTACCAACACGTCACAGTAGGAGGTTGTAAAGTGCAGAGGCAGGCTTCACTACTTGCACGACAAAAAGCTTAAGCACTAAGCCTGAGTTTGTGGTGGGAGCAGCAGAAGCAGTGCTGATGCAGCTAAGGTTTGCCGCAAGTACGACCTTAACCCGACAAAGTTCCACACCGAGCAAGACGCATGTCTGGTTGCATGCCCGGTTCCACGATCTGCTGGGAGTTGTAATCAGTTCTAAAAGTATTTGGACAGAAGGTTGCGGGGGGCTGATGGTGTTCGCCCACAGGTTGCGCAATGTCTGGATTGCGTCACAGGTCACAGGGGCTCCTGAGCACCACAGATGTAATGCCATCCTGAAGGCATGCACCCTGAGCATGTTCAGACTCCACCGGTCCGCAGCATCGCTTGCTTCATAGACAATGTCATATATGGCTCCAGGGTGTTGATGGATGAAGCTTGCGGCATGAGTTGTCTACAGCCAAACCCATGCTTGACATTGGGCAGGAGAAACATCTCTGCACAAAAGCCTAAAGCAAGCTGCTGTCAGCCTTTGGGGTGGGGTAGGCTTCCTCACATAGTCGGCAAGGATGCTTGGCTGGAGTATGACCTGACGGAGAATCACGGCATCTTGGCCTTTCCAATCGTGGTTTGTCACAGGCAGGAGAGTTTCTCATGATCTCTAGCTGAGATGCTTTCGATAGCTGGCATATCTGCTTTTCCGGAGCATGCATGTTGCAACATGTAGAGTCTCCAGACACAGATGAATTCGGCCACCACTTGGTTTACTTCATACTTCAACCGCCAAGGAATCGCTTTATCCTCTTCAATTGTTAGTTTTAGTCTTCCAGTTCGTCCGGCGGTGCGGGGCTCAAGCTCATAGGCGCGCACCCGCTGCAACACACACACACACACACACACACACACACACACACACACACACACACGCCCCCACACGCACACACGCACACACGCACACACACACACACACACGCGCGCACACGCGCACCCACCCACCCACCCACCCAC